GTGCTTCTCATTTCAGTATTTTATATTATTTTTCACATACTTGGGTTTATCCAGATTGATTTGCATGTAACCCATCTATTATTTCCAATTGAGGGTAATGTCACGGTGACCTACTGGACATTCGGACCTTCAGCCTTCCAAATTCGAGATCAGAACAGTGCCAGTGCAACACACAGCTGTCGTGACGTCAGTCAGATCTGATGGCGCAAATATATGGGCTGTGGACTATAGAGGTGCACGAATTTCTCGATTTGGGGCTTTTCTTTTTGCTCTTAGAAATAATATCCTTCATTTCCCAATCTGTCAATCGCAAATAGTGAATGTGAAATGCCTTTAAGGCGTATAAAGCTTTCAGATTAACATCGAAATCTTATTATACAGTAGGTGTTGATCCCTTCATATGTAGAGGGACAAATATTGTGTGTCCTCAGGCACACAATATGTTTCCGATTTTTAAAATTTCCTAAAAAAAACAAGTTACAGATCAGCTCCCCCACATTAGGAATGTGCAGTAAAGTCAAAATCAGTCAACAGCAGGACTCAAAGCCTGCACGCCAACTTAGCAAGATCAACTGTACGATGGGGTAAATGAAATGCCAAGAAAAATTGTGTGGAGCAATGTCTCAACTCTATCGTGGCCACAATGATACTCCACATTTTCTAAAATATCTTGACTCTTTTAACACAATCCAATGTATTTCAGGGAGCTAGTACCCTATAGTTTAAAAAGAATATGACTCAGGCACTATAAAAAAACTGCTGTACGGGTCAGGTTTTTTTTTTTAACAGTTTTTCAGCTGAAAAACTCCCTGACGGGACTACACCCACCCACTAAAAAGGATAACAACTACAACAATTAAAAAACAGATGCAGCAGCATGATCATATTTCCATGTTGCTCTCTTCGTCAGAGTTGGAGGAAAGCGGACAAGACTCTTCACAGAGCTCCAAGCTGCTCCTGCCTCTCTCATATTTTCACACATCTGTCTCAGTTTCCCTGCAATACAGTGCGTCATTTGTGCAGATGGCTTTTATATGGGAAAAAAAAAACTATGCTACAAACAGCCAGAGCAATGTATTCATTGTCAGGATGAAAGAAGAGAATCTTTAAATCGAACACAGTGTCTACAGAGGCAGGACGCCAAATCAAATCATTCACTCTGGAAAAGTTGTGTTGCTTTGGAACATGTGACTGGATTGTCTGGTAATTTCACGCAGACGTGCAATCTCCTGCTCCAGAACTGAAAGAAATCCACACAGCATTACAGTTAGATGTTTACGGTGGTATACCGGGGGAAAAAGCAGGTCAGATATCTCAATCAAGCCCAATAAGTTAACAGCAGAGCACAAATGTCAAAACTTAACATGCACGAGATCCAAGAAAGCAGGAAACAAAACATGAGCAACTGTAAGGTGGTAAATAATGCTTTCAGTGTCAAAAAAGAAACCAAGACATATGAGTAACGTTTGCTCTACTGTCTCCCGAGGATGCTGGGAGATGTGGGTGCTAACTGCATCTACCCTGGCACGATCTGCTTGGCAAAAGAACAGCCTGAAACACCTTACAATACAAGCACTGGAAAACCACTCCTATTGACCTCAGCGTTCAAGCACAGATTTCAATTGCCTCCTGCATAAACCCCCTCCCCTTAACTCCAAGTACAAAAATGCAGAACACTTTCATAACGGCATCGAGCCCAGCGCAATCGGAGTTGGCGATTGTGGCAAAGACAGTGAGAGAGCGACGCTCAAGGATACCTGACCTTTACTGTGAACATCTGGGAGCAGCTCTTGCTCACAGACTGCGAATATAGCGCGATGGTTTCTGGAAGCGGACTACAACCTACACTTGGAAGGTAACGACGCACATTTAACAAGTACGCTGCGAGCAATTTCATTTGCTCTAATTTATGCTGCCATTCCTTAATTTTCCTCTCCCTCTTTGTGTTTTTAGATGAGACCCTGATACTGTGACTGACCTGAGCAGAAGATAAGATAAGATCACTTGATGAGCCATATACAATTTCTTGCATCAGGAATTTGTCTTTTTCGCATACCTCAGCTTGCTCTCTATGAGACACACAGACAAGGAGAGAAGCCTGGGGTCAGAGCGCAGGGTCAGCCATTTATACAGCACCCCTGGAGCAGCTGGGGTGAAGGGCCTTGCTCAGGGGCCCAGCGGAGTAGGATTCTTCTGCCGGCCGCGGGATATGAACCGGCAACCTTCCAGCCACAGGCGCAGATCCTGAGCCACAGAGTCACCACACCGCCGGAGAAGTCCACAAGGTTTTGCACGGCACTTTCTACCGCAAGTCACAGAATGAACACCACAAACCGAAAAAATCATGACCCACGTTCAAGTCAAAGAATGTGCGTCGAAAAACACCAAGGTACTCATTTATAGGACGATCCTGCGGCCTGTCAGAATGTACGGTTCTGAGGGGTGGACCCTGGTAGTAGGGGACGTGGAGCTTTTGAGAAGACGGGAAGGGACGATTCTAAGGAGGATATTCGGCACCGTCACTGAAGAATTCGGACCAATCAAGAACCGGAGATCTTGTATCCCAATCCTGATACTGTCAGCGAAAGTAAAAGTGGAGCGGATTAGGTGGCTGGGGCATGTACAGCGACTGTCCCGGGACAGATGCCCTTAAAAAATACTAGCGGGAAGGCCAGGCAGGAAGAGACAAGGGCCCCCAAAAGCTATGGATCGACGCCGGCGAGGGTGCTCTGAGGAAAGTGGGGGGTGTGCAGGTGGAGGCCCTAGATCGAGATGATTGGTGCAGCAGGCCAGGGCCCACACTGGGCTGTAGCGCCAAGGAGAGAGAGAGAGACCAATCATGAATGGAAGTAGATGAAACACAGACGGATATATACCACAATGTACACAAGACCAGATATGGAGATTAGCATCACTTGCCAATTGGTGTTCGACTTCAGTCCAGCAGATAGAACAGAGGGCCCGGCTGTAAACTCATATTATCCATTTCCATTAAAAGAAGGCTGCCCACCTGCAAGCCTCTGAGTGAATATTCTGCAACAGCTCAGCAGTAGTAAAGACAACAAGAATTTCAGTGGGGGGGGGGGGGGGGGGTTTGGACTCACTTGGGGTGCTTGTCGTACATGATGGGCAGGAACTCATCCACAGGCAGCATCTTGGAGAGCGGCTCGGCGTTCAGGAGCTTCTGGGCGCCCTGCAGTGAGATGGCGTAGGAGAGGGTCCAGTAGGAGTAGTCTGCCACCACCAGGTTCCTCACGTTCTCCACAGGCTGCTCCTCTGTGGGGTTCACCTGCTTGCGGCCCAGGTATCTGCGAAAAGGAGACGAAGGAGAAAAGCCAGTGGCAGATGGCAGCCCCAGCTGGGTCAGCAGTAACCCGAATCGGCCTATTCAGTCTCCTCCTAAAATGCACTAATTACACAAGAGCCTTTATTGGCGTTGTGCAAAATCAACCGGCTTTCTTTCAAGTGCCACCCTCTCAATAAAAGGAAAAGGAAAACTGAGTGCTCACCAGGCAGAGAACTGAATGCAGCAGCAAACAGCGACGCTTATACACATGCTGTTTTATAACCAGGGGTTGTTCAATCTTTGCGCAACTCAGACCAAATTCTCCATGTGAATTTAATTACCTACATATCTATTTTTTTTCCACCTTGTAAATGTACAGAGCAAGGTCTCAGTGCACCGTCTGTCTTGGGAGAATAATATACTCCCCCCCTGGCCAAAATATTAGGAACCCCCTTTGTCGCAAGAATAGACTCCCTGCATGCACAGGTAGTGTATGGGGCGGAGTGGTGGCCCTGTGGCTCAGGATCTGTGCCTGTGGCTGGAAGGTTGCCGGTTCAAATCCCGCAGCCGGCAGAGGAATCCTACTCCGTTGGGCCCCTGAGCAAGGCCCTTAACCCCAGCTGCTCCTCCAGGGGCGCTGTACAATGGCTGACCCTGTGCTCTGACCCCCAGCGTCTGTGTGTCTCATGGAGAGCAAGCTGGGGTCTGCGAAAAGATGAATTCCTCATGCAAGAAATTGTAAAGTGCTAATGCGTGACTGGACTGAGGGAATGCTACTCCTACAACAACGAGGTGGAATTAGACTGCAAATACCTCATGAACTAATACAGGTTATTGGCTAATATTCTGGCCAGTGTGCTTATTAGGCCTCGTTAGTGGCGACATGACATGACTCACATGAGGTCCCAGTCCAGCTCCACCTTCTCAATCTCCTCCATCATGCGCATGAGCCGCCTCTTGAAGTTGCCCTGGAAACGCACATCATCCTCGAACACCACGGCTTTGTCCAGCTGTTGGTCGACCATCTGGGGGGGAAATGGCAGAGGTCCCCGTCAGCTCTCAGGTGCTCTTGTTTCCGTTCTGGTCTTGTTCGACGGCGGCCTTGTCTTACCTCTCCTTGTCTGGCCTTCAGCTTTGCACGATCGGTGTGGGCTGTAATAGCCGGAGACGTGGCTAGGGATCGGACCACAATCACAGCTGCAACACCGCAGAGCCCACAGTCCCCGTGAGGTGGTGATGCACCTCTGCTCTTAATGACCTCACTGACCCGAGCACTAGCTCGGACGGATCAACATAACCTTTTTTGGAAAGGTTCTCCAGCTGTTGAATACCTCCAGATTCCGGATTCTGGGCCTTGAGGACTGGGTTTGAGCTTGCTGTGATCTAGGAAGGCAAATGGCACTGGAGAACTTATGGTTCTTGATGGCCCCAAGGTCTCGTTTTCATCTGAGCTCTTGGTTACCTATTGATCTATTTGTGTGCTCAGTTGGAAGAAGTGTGCTTTTCTTCCCAGATATTAGAAATGCATAGCTGTACAGTGACCCATAAGATCTGCTAGACGAACAGACCTCCAAGGCCAGAGTTGTCCACTTTTGCATTGGTGAGAAAATCTACAGCAGCCTGACCTCTTCTTGCAATTTAGGGTCACAGGGGAGACAAAACCTATCCCAGCAAGCAAGGGGAGCAAGGCAGGATACACCCTAGATGGGACGCCAGGCCATGGCAGGGCAGAGAGGCACAAACAAGGGCAGAGACATGCACATGCTCACACCAGGGCCAATTTTCCCAGAAACCAGTTAACCAGTACGTCTTTGGACAGTGGGACTAACCTGGAGCATCTCAAGGAAACCCATGTGAACACAGGGAGAATAGACGAACTCCACCCTGATGGTACCCTAGGTCCGGAATTGAACCCAAGCTCTCAGCACTGTGAGGCAGCAATGCTACCCACTGTGCCACTGTACTGCCCCTATAGGTTTGTCATGTCATGACATTTGCCAAACCGCTTCATACTGTACGGTGTCGCGGGAAGCCGGAGCCTACCCGGCAGGGTACACCCTGGACAGGACGCCAGTCCATCGCAGGGCCAGTGCAAGCCAATCATACATGGGGACAATTTGGAGGTCATGGTAAAGGGTGAGGGGGGAAATTTGGCCCGGACACTGGGATAACTCTTCTTGAGAAACGCCCAGGGATCTTTAATAACCACTGAGAGTCAGGACCTTGGTTTAACATCTCATCCAAAAGACAGTGCACACTACGGTATAGTGTCCCCACCACTATACTGGGGCATTAGGACCCACACAGGCCGCCCCCTACTGGTCCCACTAGCACCTCTTCCAGCAGCAACCATAGCTTTCCCAGGAGGTCTCCCATCCAGGTACTGGCCAGGCTCACCCCTGCTGAGCTCCAGTGGGTAGCCAGTTGAGAGCTGCAGAGCGATATGGCTGCTGGCTGTATAGTGGTTTGTGCATTCTGAAAATGAGGTTTTGGGTTCTTCAGCGTGACAGCTGGCTCTCACCTCCTTCCAGATGTAGTAATGGCTGAGGAAGCAGCCCACTTCACCCTTGGTCAGAGTCCGGCCCGAAAAAGGGTCATAGTACCCCGGCAAGAGGTCCACTCCCAAGAGCTTGATGTCACTGCTGTTCAGGGCGCTGCAGGGGCACGGAAAGGAGATTTAAAAAAAATAACATTTTTGAAATAAAAAGGAGAATCGGTGACTGGTATCCTCAGCCAAAACTCATTGCTTTCTTCAATGTGACTGAAAACACGTTGGGGTTTAGTGAATAATACCGTAAACTGCACCGAACAGCAAAAGAAACTTCTCTCTTATAACCACAACAAATTCACACAAAGTCAACGTAAGGAAAAGCTATTTTTTTGTAGCAGGTGCACTGCCATTTACTTGAACAGACACTGGTAAGCTCGGTATGTTGATTACGACTTGTCATCAACAGGACTGATCAACAGAGGGGTCTGCCGGAGCGGTGGCTCTGTGGCTCAGGATCTGCGCCTGAGGCTGGAAGGTTGCCGGTTCGTATCCCGCGGCCGGCAGAGGAATCCTACACCGTTGGGCCCCCGAGCGAGGCCCTTAACCTCAACTGCTCCAGGGACGTTGTATAAATGGCTGACCCTGCACTCTGACCCCCAGCTTCTCTCCCTGTCTGTGTGTCTCATGGAGAGCAAGCTGGGGCCTGTGAAAACAGAAATTCCTGATACAAGAAACTGTATATGGCCAATAAAGTTATCTTTTCTGTACAAGTCCCAAACCAGTAGCATTAGAGACCACCTTTCGGAAGCAATTCAAGCTTTGCGTTTTCTTGTGACCGCCTGACACGTGTCAGGGAAGCTGGGGGGGGGGCTACTGTCTCATGAGACGGTGTCCAATTCGTCTTGTAGATCTTGGACAAAACATGTGTCTGTTTGCTGACCTCTCTGCCCAAGCTGCGTCACTCCGGGCTTTCAGAAGGAGGGAAGAAACAGGAGAAGAAGTGGGAGAGGTGAAGGAAAGGAGAGAGCCAGCAGGCGACTGATACAAGAGAGCAGAAAGAGGAGACCAGATACCCTCCGTCCACCGCGTCCACGACTTTGGCATCGATCTCTTGCTCGTACAGGGACCAGAGCATCCTCTCTCTGCGGTCCGGCCTGCGGCGAAGATTGATCAAGTACACCTGCAGAAGGGCAGCCGTTTACACAGGGATACCAACATTTTTCATCCATCCACAACAGGATCTAATTCACCTTCATAGAAACCTAGGGAGTAGCAACGTCATCTTTTTTCCTTATTGCAGACTGGGGGACTGATTGCAAATCCAATCAGTGAAGGAACCCAGTTCATTATCAAGCAGAATCTTATCAGGCCCTCTGCGGATGGATGTTTGGCATTCGTTAATTATTCAGATTGCTGCAGCACGAGACATTTCACAGCATATGGCAAGAACCATACCTCTGTCTTTGGCTAAACCCTGAAATTATTTCTCCCAAGAAGAAGAGGTGGACACTCAAAAACCTTCACCCTGTCCAGCAGCCTGCTGGAAAAAAAACAAAACAAACTACTGTGGCCAAGGGAAAGGTTCTTACATCATCAAACCCCATCCGGTCCATTTGTTTGGGAGGTAGATACACATATTGGGAGGGATGCATGCGGGGTCCATCGGCTGCAGGAAACAAATGAAATCTTGAATAAAAGAATCAAACATTTCACTTCTAGAAAGAGACTTGTGCTGACGGAAGTCGTTGACACTCACTCATTGCCTCTAGCTGAAGGTGAATGAAGTTGACGCGGTCGTCCTCGATAGTTTGGTGAGGCTTGGCGGGGACGTTCAAGTACCCATAGCGATCCTTGTTACAGACGTACATCTGCACTTCTGGGTCAGAACAGACACCCGTAAAACCAGAGCAAAGAGAGAGGCGATGCACAGAGAGGCATGGGAAAGTATGGTTCAAACTGAGAGGACTCACAGTGTGTTCATCTGGAGGCCTCACCAAATTTCCCCCTGGCCTTTACCAATCATGGCCTCCTAATAACCCCCCTCTCTGAACTGGCTCCATCACTCTGCTCTCCTCCCCACTGAGAGCTGGTGTGTTGAATGTACAGCACTTTGGCTGCTGTCACATCATCCAGGTGGGGGGGTTACACATTGGTGGTGGTAGTGGGATTCCCCATTACCTGTAAAGCATTTTGAGTGGAGTGTCCAGAAAAAGCGCTCTGTACTTGTAAGGAATTGTTATTATTTGTTGTTGAACAAGTAAAACAGAGTAAATGCATGGGGAAAGCTTGACAAAACCATAGGAAAACTATATGGAAATTCAACATGGCACACATCCTGTGTCTTCATTCCACGGCAGTTACCTCATCAGCCGGGTTTTGAATGGGATGCAAACCGGCAAGACCGCCCCGTACCTGAGACGCGGCAGGAGAAGGCGAAGACGATGATGTCGTCGAAGGGCCAGGAGTAGTCAGGGTGGGGGGGGTGGAAGGCCAGCTTCTTCACGCCCTCCTTGCGCAGGTCCAGCAGGAAGGTGGAGTGCACCATGGGGACTGGGAAACAGCCGCTCCGGTGTCTGTGCTTGGTGGGGAAGTACTCCGCCGTGCGCCGGTAATAGCCCTGAAGACGGACAGACGCGCCCGAGATGAGGGCGCCGTCACAGAAGCCGGGGGCTAGCCATGGAGAGAGACCGGCGAGACCCTACGCGAAGCGGCAGGAACGGAGCAAACAAGAGGGGTTCGCTCCGGGCTCGAGGGATCGGGCGGAGTCGGGGACGACACATAAGCCCTCAGGTAGCAGACGTTGGGCGACCTGGTGAGGCGAGCCTCCTGACATCCGATCCCAATGCCGAGCGAGGAGGACAGGACAGACCGGAAATAAATAGCCAACCTCCACCAGACGCACCGGAAGCGCAGGAACGGCCACAGGGAAGCAAGGAAGAGGACAGAAAGGTGGAGCGCCCTCTAGGGAAAGGAAGAGAGCCGTGACAGGCACAGAGAAAATCAGGTGCCTGTGGAGAGGACCGGACAGTGGCGGGGGGGGCTCTCCTTACCTGCGGGGTAATGCCACACCAGTAGTTGGAATAGGCCGTCTGGGAGTCCAGCATGGGAGCAACAACGGACATGTTCTCCGCTACAAGAAGGCTCAGGGTCTCAGGGTTGGTCAGGATATTATCCGTGTCACAATACTGAGGAGCGGGACAAAGGCAGGTCAGGGAAAGGCCTTCCCTTCCAGCGGTGCATTACAGTACACTCATGCCCCCCGGTATCCGAACCGAATTCGTTCCCGAAAATCAGTTTGGAAGGCGGGAGATTATAAATCGGAAATAGAAATTCCATTATTTTGCACGGGGAAAAAAATTCCACCCCGTTCCGAGCCGAAGACAACTCCACCGTAAACATATAATACCATACAGACCATTATAGCAAGCCTAGTGAACAACGCAGTTCTACTCAAACAAGCCAACGACAGCTGTAAAATAAGTAATGATATCATATTGACATTTTTCATTCTTTAGTAATAGGTCGCTATCCAAGCGATCGGCTAGAACGATGTGCATACTGTTGTCGACTATTCCACTAAAGAATCCTTTTCTCTTCCCGAAGACCCCAGGATGAGCAGCAGCCACAAAAATGACACTTTGAGAACGAAAGTACAAACTTGCGCTCCGAGCCTAAACAAAGCACTGCTGCCTCACGGCGTCCTTCAGCACATCGCCCGTCGTCCGCGCAGACACAAGCAGAGGCTGCGCGCTGGCACGGAATCCAGATGTTCACAGAAGGTTCTCGGCCAAAATCGGTCGCTTTTGAACTTCAGAGTTCGGATTAGCGGAATTTCGTTATTATAACAAGGCACGCAAATTCTTCATGTTTGGATTCGCGAAAATGTGCTTACCTAACATTCTTATGCCGAGGTATGAGTGCACTTTGACGCCACCAGCACCTTAATAGTCATACCAGTCTTACTAATTATCACAGAAATCGTCAAGGAGCTGGCTTTAGTTATATGCTGTAATGGAGTGGATTGGAAAGGTCACATAATGAATAACCCTGGACAAAAATCAGATCTCTTCTATCCACATTTAATCTTGTTTTCTCACCACCACAACTGCTTTCGTTTTTTGGTAACTGCTTTACCGCCCAAATACGCTTCTTGTTTTCAAAAGCTCCAGAACTGACTGGTCTTTCACTGAGCAAGGAGGAGCAGAAAATAAGCAGCAGTCGCACAAGAGAATACATCAAAAGTAACTATCCCAGGTGTCCCCGGCCTTTGCGTTTCAGATATTTATGGGAAAACCAGGGCCGGTGGGGCACCTACCAGAATGTAGTCAGCCCAACGCCTCTTGGCAAAGTTGAGTGCGGCCTGCTTGAGTTTCATGAGGTACTCGTATCTCCCATTGGTCCAGTGCTTGGGTCCCATCTCCCCTGGGTACGACCTGCACAACGCAGACAAGGAGGACAAGCAGCAGTGTCGGCACCTATCTTTGAAACATCACAGGCTTGAGAGTTTGTATCTACAGTATGTTGTCCCATTAAGGCTAGCAAGCATATTTTCTAATAATTAATAATAATTGCTTACACTTATATAGCCCTTTTCTGGACACTCCAGTCAAAGCGCTTTACAGGTAATGGGGAATCCCACTACCACCACCAATGTGCAGCATCCACCTTGATGATGAAGCAGCCATAGTGCGCCAGAACGCTCCCCACACATCAGCTTTCATTGCTGGGAAAGAGGTCTGACCTCACAGATCAACTGGAAAAGGACTTGAGTGCATCTCATGCCTTTAAGGGAGGTGATCCTTTGAGCACTGTGACTGCAAAAACACATCATCTCTCCAGCTTAACCTGCTGGAACCACATTCTAACAGAAGCATCGCCGTCAAACATTTATCCTGGTAGAACAGGAGGGCTCGTACAAGCACAGCCCAGGTGACAGGGGGGTTGCGGTGCAAGCTTCTGTCTCTCTGTCTTTTTAAAGATGCAGAGTGTGGAGTCTCAGAACAGCATTACAACACAGCATTGCTGACAGGGCCCCTCCAACAATTCACTCCAGAAGAAAAAAATAAATTCACACAAAGCCAAGCCGAGACTTGCTGAAGGTTTCCATTGGCATGTGAGCACAGTTTCCTCTCCATTATGCTTCCTGAGGCAATGGAATGCACTTAATGGGATACTGTTGTCCTGAGGCTGAATCAATGCACCAGGCAGAATGCTCATTCGGGTGGAGATCCGTGCTGCCCAGATTTCATCTGCTCGTATAAAGTGAGCTCTCTTGTCGCACTCTCACCTGAAGAAACTTAACACCGTATTTCTAAGGAGAATCGCAGCTGCACGTTTGAAACAGGAGCTCCATAAATACCGCTGATGGAGAACATCTCAACCTCCCTCCTCCCCGTGCCTTAACTCGTAACATGTTGGTTAAGATGCCAGTCGTGTTAAGCTTAAGGCACGGCAACATTTTAGCTGACAACTTGAGTCTCACACTCAGTTGCTGAAGGTACTGGTATTGGTTCCAGCCAGCCAAATCAACTCATTCAAATAATTATTCTCTTAAAAGACATATCTTGTATGGCCTGATCCCTCAAAAGAATCACGTCGATAAAGGCAAAAACTTTAAAACACCTCAGAGGCAGGTTAGTGAAACTGCAGCTCATTAGATTAAAAGACCAGCTATTCGGCTCAGCCCTCCGCTGGGACAAACGCCAGAAACCTCCAGAAACCAACTTTGAGACTTGCTTTAGCAGCTGTAGGAGGGGGCTCTATGCCCAACAGACTCACGTTGGGTTGTCCATTGGCCTCCACTCCACGTAGTGGTAATACTTTTGCATGACGGTCAGCCATTCCCTGAGGATAGCAGTGGTGTTGTCGATATTGTGATCCGTCGCCGCCCTGCAGGTGGAAAGGAACAGAGCAAAGAATTACTATTCGCCGGCTTTTAATGACAGTTTTTCTCCAATGACTTCTTTTTCGGACACATGACCAGACACCGTGGTCTTGATGCCTGTTCCACTTTGAGCTTGCACAGCTCTTTCGGGTGACTAGATCTAGCTCCATGTACTGCGTCTTCTCATTCCACAGCGTTCTCAAAATAACAAACCATACGGAGGTAAATCATGAGGACGTCGGTGAAAAAAACAAAATTCCATATCATTAATAACTTGGGCACTCAATGGAAAAGGCTCTTAACGAGCGACGGACACTATAAGACTCATAAACACGTTAGTAAAAGCTTCGGTGTGCTGTCACACCTGAAGACATTACCTTCCACTCTGAAGGGTTTTACCCGTGTGCCTACACACGTGTCATTTCACCGCGAAGGCAATAGGGGGCGCGGTGTAGCAAAATTGAATTTGTTCGCGGCAGCAAAAAAAAGACACAGGGTGCCTTTTACACGGGATCAGCGCCTTGGGGCAACCTGGTTGTGAAAGGCGCTATATTAAAATAAATTTAATTTAATTGATCATTTTGCTGTAAAACACGAACAATATTGAAGAAGGCTCCAGGGCCGAAACGTTGTGTTTTCTTTCTTCCCTTTTCAGCATGAAATAAACCTATTACTTGTTCCTTTACTGCCTAATATATTAATATCTTCCAATATATATATACACACCCAACAGTATTGGCCCATGCACAGTAGCATTGTCTTTTACAACAGAAGAATACGTCACACTCCTCTTGAACGACTCTCAAGAAACCACGTGTAGTGTCTTTTGTATACATGAAGTAGACCACCCTTCATGTATTCATGTATTCCTGGGTTACACGCTTGCCTTTTCCACCATCTCTGTGAAAAGCAGAAATGACGCGGCCTTTCGATCGCATTTTATTCTTCGTGTGAAACTACTTCGTAGTGAAACTACGGACACACGGAACACAGGGTTTTGCCCAACCTTTAAACATTGAACGGTAGACGTTTACGACGCCTTGACGGTAAGACTTAGAGTAAATAGGTTGTTACATTACTTACAACGCTTACATTGTTTTCTCCTTGGCGCTAATAGAAAGAAAAAAAAATAGCGCAACATTAGCGGTTGCTTCTTGGTGATCACTCTCCAAAAGCACCGCGCCGTGAGCGTATTTTAACATTGCTTATTCTAACATTGTTTGCCCGCCAACTCGACACTTATCCTGCATATCCCCTGTGAAACAGTGCACAGATTTCAAGTAAGCGAAGGGAGAAGTTAAGATTGCCGTTTCAAAGAGTGGAAAAACATTCTGCTCTGTGCAGTTTCAGAGCATCAGCTAACAAATGCTTCGCCCGAAAACACTGAGCCACCACTGACAGCTTGAAGTATTTGGGGCTCCTGCTACCTCAAGCTTGTGGTTTCCAATCCAGGGTGGGGCTTGGCTATTATAACCTTAAGCAAAGTTCTGCACTCGCAGTGCCTGGGTGAAACGTCCTGCCGGTACAAACAGATTTGATTTAATGAGCCCTGACTTGCACAGACCATGCCTTCCTCTCGAATTCTATTTCTGTCGCTAGAAATGAAAGGTAAAAACGGATTCTCTTTTTTTTCCCTCACCGACACCACCATGCATTTCCAGCCTGACACGCTTAGCAACGTGCAATTTATTTCTGCTTCTCCTGAGCGGTATTATAGCCCTGGAATGGTAGGGATTATCGCGGTGTATTTGAATTCCTTAAAACGCATGCAGCTCACAATTGCACAGCCAGTTTTGACCACAGGGTCTGATCAGCACATAACGTCGTGTCATGATAATGTTGTCCGCTGTTTCTGACTATGCTGACAAGACAAGAGATTGACCTCCTACTGCCCCGATCCAAAAATCAAATGCGCAACACCAGCGGCGTGCTAAGATCTTAAAAACCGACTGCAAGAACTTTTTTTTTAAGAAAAGGAAAGAATGAGGGGGAGGGGGAGGACTCTGGAAGCGAAGAGACAGAAGAAACTAAGGAAAGCGGAATAATGGAAGATTACTGGCGACATTGAGCGTATGCATAACCTCCAATGGCTCGGGGGGCTGGCCTCCAGTCCGTCTGTACATCAAGAACAATGCTAAACCCACCTACCATATCGAGATTCGGTCTTTGGGATAGCTCAGTCTCTCTATCGCTCCCAGATAGTAAGGCAGCGAGTGCGCGGCGTTCCGCGCAATGATGGCTACGACCACGGTCGGCGGCTGTATTTTCGATTCTTGGTGAAGTTTCTCTTCGGAAAAGTAGCCTTGTGCGCCAGCCAGCCAAGCCGAAACGAGCAGGAAAGGCAGCATCGTACCCACGAACGAACGTCTGCTCTTCTCGCTGGAAAAGAAACGCTTCCTCGCCCTCCGCTGTCCGCGTCACCACTTCTCCACTCAGACAAAATTCCTGACTTTTTTTTCCCCCTCTCTCTCACTGGTGTACTCCGGCTGCCGTGCTCGGTTTTAAATTACAAGGGCTTTCCGTACTTTTTCTTGTACGAATTCGAACATCCTGTCCAGACTTTTGCTTGTGTTGCTACGTACCACTTGTGTGACCGGCATCACGCCCCGGGCGCTGAGCTCCCTACCTTCCCCACCGAACCACTAACACACCGATGATGTCACGATTCTCGGCGTGAAAATCTCTCTCGAGTATTGCGAGAAAAACAAAATGCTGCACCTCATAAACTGAAAAAAAAAAAATAATTACCAGCAAATGGTCTATTTAAGCAAAATCGGCCATTGTAAACGCAACACTGAGCTAAAAGATGAAAAGGGCTGTGTATGATGACACGTTATTAACATTTTGCAGACAGTCTGGGAAAGCGATAAAAAGGCAAACGCATGTTAGGATATGAAGTTAGAAGTAGGACGTATGTCAAGGGATGTTATATATTTTAACATACTGCAATGGCGGGCTGAAGGAACAACCCTGAACTGAGAAGACTATAAGAGGGAGATATCCAAATGTTCACATCGTCAGAGGCATTGCCAAAACCAACCCAGCAGACTTCCTCAGAATGAACTGTGAAACCCCAACCAGGGGACCCCCAGGGGAAACTACGTGTTAAGGGCGTTTTAAAACTGTGAGCTGGAAGCGTGTCTTTACACGAAGAGTTGCAGGAGTGTGGAGCAGGCTGCCCCGCCGAGTTATTGAAGCCGCCGCATTCCGTCAAGTCACGGACACTGCTATTCCATGTCATTTCAATCAAACAGGTACATGGGTGACCCCAAACTGTGTGGAAAATACGTGAAAAGTAGCCTTAAACTGGGTTGTTAATAAAATGCGGGTCTTCTTTCTTTGTGCTCCGCGTCCTTCTTGACCTGTTATAAATTTACTTTACAAATTGATAGATTAAAATGGACTTTTGGAAAGGAATGTTGAAACAGCAGGATGAGGTTCTGGGGATCAGTTAACTCGGATCTGTCAGACGAGCCACACGGTCCTCTTAGCCTTTGTAACTGCTCTTAAACTCGGATCAACAAACGAGTCGGAAAGCAGAGTCGATACTTTCAAGTTAATAGGCCGGAACGGGTTTTTCTCCTTGTAGAAGTATAGTTGCTGTTTGTATATACGGTATACTATACAAAATACTATTTTTAAACCCGCAATTAAACCATAGCAAAGCAGACACTAAATTACACCCAAGGTTCCACAAAAAAAAATCTGGAAATAATATCCCTGCTATGTGTATAAAGCATAAACACATTACATATCTCATTCTACAGAATTTCCCTTCGTGGAACCTCAACTGATCGGATAGGACACCGGGATTACATAGCAATGTTGACACGCCACTGGTAGGCGCCTTTTGGTTCGTGTGTAGAATGCAGCTTTTAACTACGATTTGAGAGAGAAACAAAGAGAGATTCCAGAAAAGGCATTCTAGGCAGCTGTAAAGCCTAGCGACGGCACTGGTTTCCAATCACGTCTGCATACATGCAAAACGTAAAGAAATTCACTGGTGGTTATATTGTATTGTAATAAAACACTTGTTACATGTTAACCTATGCATTCATATTGTTGAGTAAATATTGTAGTTGAATGCCGTATTATTTTTAAGGAGTGTGTAATGATTACTATAAAATAAATACGCTTGGGTGCACGTATTATATTTTCTGCATTGTTTGGTCAATATGAACAACGCTATGCTAAACGAGAATCGGTGCCGAATGTCAGAATGTCTCGGATTCGTACCATCAATGGCTCGTAAACTTGAAATGGTCCTTCTTTGCATTATTTCAATAAACATTTAGAGAAACGGACAATTTCTATGGTTGTTGGTCTTATATCCCATTACCTTTTGAAAAAAAAACTAATATTAAAATATTAACCGCTTTTATACGTTTTTATACTCACACCACAGCATACATAGCTTCAAACATATTTTTTGTTACAAAATTCTGACCGACCATCCATGAGTCTATTCGTATGTGAAGAATTTATATATGAGCACATCGCCACCTAGCGGATACACAATCACAACGGCCCTTAGGGGTTTATTCATTAACTGTCTTGGAAAACAAATACTGTATTCAATTCACTCTTTCATAGCGCTTTTCTGGACGCTCAAAGCGCTTTACAGGTAATGGGGATCCCCTCCACCACCAGTGTGCAGCCCCACCTGGATGATGCGCCAGTCCGCTCTCCACACACCAGCTCTCCTGGGGAGGAGAACAGAGTGATGGAGCCAGTTCACAGAGGGGGGTTATTAGGAGGCCATGATTGGTAAAGACCAGGGGGAAATTTGGCCAGGACGCCGGGGTAACACCCCTACTCTTTTTGAGAAACGCCCTGGGATTTTTAATAACATCAGAGAGTCAGGACTCAGTTTTACACCTTATCCGAAGGACGGCGCATTTTTCCAATATAGTGTCCCCTATACAGGGGCATCAGAACCCACACAGACCACAGGGTGAGCGCCCCCTGCTGGCCCCATTAACACCTCTTCCAACAACAGCTTTCCCAGTAAGTCTCCCACCCAGGCTCACACCTGCTGAGCTTCACCGGCTGCCAGTTGTGAGTTGCAGGGCGATATCACTGATAAACCTCGGAATAACGGTGATTCAACCCCTCATGTGTAAAGAAGCGAAATGATACGTAAAACGCGCATCGTCTTTGACTGGGCGGGTTCTTTTTGAATTTGTTTCTCACTTTTTCACTCTTAATTTAATCGTAATTCTCTTTAAAAATGTAAAATAATTTTTTTGACTACCTCGGTATATTTAATAAACAAAGAAATTGAAACAACACGCGTCGTACTAGCACACCTATCATTCCCTGTTACTTATATTTTTTAAAAAAAAAACATAGCTGTAACATTAAACTCAATTTCATACAGCGCCTTTGACAGTTACACTTCAAAGTGCTTTACAGTTATACGGATACCAAATTACTAAGGAAGAAAATTGTAGAAACGACAAGTCAGAAAATGGAGCGGACACAGCCACTAATTAAGTAAAACCCTTTCTTTCTGAAAAGAGAGGGTTTGGAGTCTAGATTCCAAGGCAATTACAGCATAATTGCTTCGACCTTCCCGGATAGGGAATTCAGCTGTCCCAGTCACTGAGCCCACGTGGGGTCACGGTTGTCTAGTCAAGCTGACCCGTGCTGGTGTGGGTAAATTAAGTGAAGGTCAAGGGTGATGTTAGACCAGCTGCTGTCCGAGTGGGAAATCGGCGTCCGTCTGGTTGAGTCAGCTATGCCATCACTTCACGGGCGACTGCCGATGGTAATCTAATCTTATCTACGGTCGCCACGGTAATTGACTGCATATCATAAACCATAGAAGAAAGTGCATTTTCCAAGCGCAAGTCTATGCGCCACGGACGGGATAGATCAAAAAGTAAATGTTGAATGTAGATTTACAATGAACACGACTTGTAGTACCGATGACTGTTCGAAATAATATTCCTTTGACATCCATATGGGCGTTGTGATGGACGTCAATGTCGAATGATACAAGGCAGCCTTCAGGACAGCGTGTCTGCGATATACCGACAGTATCGACGTGGATTTCCGGCTGAATATAACGATCTCAAAGTCTGGTCGTGGAAACAGCGATATCGCCCGGTGTGGCAGCTGTCCAGCGGTGATGAGGTGTTGGGCCGGCGGAACTGTACTT